GCGGTGCTGTGCAGCCTGCTGTGGGTGACCCTGCTTCAGCAGGGGGTTGGGCTGGGTGACCCACAGAGGGCCCTTCCAACCCCTGCTATGCTGGAATTCTGTGATAAATAAAGAATGGTATAAAATAGTCTGGCTACCATAAAAGCGAGGCAACTGTCTGCTACCCAACAGCACGATGGCTGTCGCCCACACCTACGCTGTCATACTGGAGCACTTCCATTTCTAACGCAGCCCCTATCTCTTTTGTTAAAGCAAAGGCAGTGGCTGAAAGCTCCGTGGCTTTTACCTCATGACAGCACACACGTCTCCGGTCAGATTCCTTCTGCAGGCAGTGCTGGTCAAGTACTCTTGAGGGTTCAAGCGATAGGTGTCAATCATGAAGTTGCGGTAAGCCAGGTATCTGGAAGACAATTGACAGGCAGTTCATGTACATTGATGTCTGATCGAGTTTCGAGTGTGTATTTTAGGACTCACCGTCTCCAAACACCTGTATTTGACAGTTGAGGGAACTGGGCTTGTTCAGCCTGAAGAAGAGAAGGCTGCGAGGGGACCTTATAAATGCCTACAAATATCTGAAGGGTGGGTGTCAGGAGGATGGGGCCAAGCTCTTTTCAGTGGTGCCCAGTGACAGGACAAGGGGCAATGGGCACAAACTGATGGAGATATTCAAGCCCCGCCTGGACAAGATCCTGTGCAGCCTGCTGTGGGTGACCCTGCTTGGGCAGGAGGGTTGGACTAGATGACCCACAGAGGTCCCTTCCAACCCCTACTATTCTGTGATTCTGTGATTCTGTGATTCTGTATTACTAACAGGCAAACACCAACAGGTAACTGCTATTGATGAAATTTAAAAATCAGTGTCAAAAGCAACAGGGAAGCAGAGTTCATTTTTATAACGTGACCAGGACCCATCTCTTCCAGATCGTTTCGTTCTGGATTTTACCGGTGGTTGGATCAGCAGTGCATCGAAGCGCGATTGCTGCTGTAGCTTGGTCCTTAACCAAACACCTGTGCAGCAGACTACTCGCTGCAGGAAAACAAATTAACAGGGTCTGGTCTTCACATGGAAACGGGCTAAATAATCCTTGGCAATCCCCTCTGAGTCTGGAAGAAAAAAAGCTGCGCAGAACAACAGAAAAATACACTGGCTGGAACGCTGCTGTTCCACGTGTGGACTTCTTAGTGCATAAAGAGATCAGTAAGGAAAGGTTAGAGAACAGCAGAATGGAGAAGACAAGATCTTTGATGAGCAGAGGGCAAGAACGCAGAAGCCAGCCCAGCACTCCTCACTCACTGAGCTGGGAACAGGGAACACAGAAACGACCAGCTTGTGATTCTGTGACCCCCGAGAGATTCCCGGATTTCCAAATTACCTGCCCAGGTAAGCAGGTTTGGGGGTCCAGCCCATCTCCTGCACTGCAGACATTGCCTCTCCATCTTTTGCAGTGAGTTTCTGGAATGTACGAATGCTTCCTAATAAAAGCTGTTCAGAACAAAAGAAACTACCATAACATTCTTGCTAGCCCTGTTCTCTAGATGGCACAAACCCAATCTGCCAAACACAAGCGAGCATCCTATGCTCACACAACGATGTGTTCAAAACAGCGTACCATAAGCAGATTTCTGCCTTTGGAAAATTCCAAGGCGAGGATGTCTCATACGCCGCGTGCAAAAGCAGCTGGCAATCAAAAATATAAATCACGCAGAGATGGAACACCAATGCCTTTCACAGGCAAGACACAAGCAGCCAGATGCTGCAAGAACACATTCCTGCCAAAACCCCCACATCTTCATTCTGGCCAAATTACATATGAAACTTGCTGGAAAAAAGTGACGGGACTAGGTGTTGGGCTCCTCCGTGTTGAACGTTTGGTAGGCAAGGAGCTTCTTCCATAGGGGAATATTCAGGAATAGTTTTGAATGCTCCTGGAGAGAACTGGGTTGCCACCTGCTCAGGATTAGGTACTTCAGAGTGGTCTTGGCTGCAGAGATGTGTCCAGTACTTCTCAGTTAAGGTCGCATTACTGGGTGAAGAGAGAAGTCCAAGACAGAAACGTCCCTAAAGTTTACCCTGAAGGCAGTCTGGTTTTGACAATGACATAATCCATCAGCTGGAAGTTGTCAACAGCAAGAAAAGTCAACTGCTATTTAGTTAAAATCCCTTTCAAGGCAGAAACCAGCCCCCAGGCACTACTGTCGCAAGAAAGAATCTGTGAGAACTTCTGAAACACAGTATTTGGTTTGGCCTGAAAACTAAGATGCGGGCAAGACATTTCCATCCAGATGGGTGTTTCTATTTTATTAAAAAAGAAAACAGAAAGCCAAGACCACACGCTACTCCTACAACCCCTAAATGGCAACAAAAATACATGCCTAGGATAACATCAGGATTGGGAAAGGGGAGTCCCTAACTTGCTTCACTCGGAGGCAATAACCAGCTCAGGGGTGAGTATCAGGAGACTTGACGTCAACTGACAAAGGAAGCATGGGACCACACGTGATGACCACATCAACGGCAAATATGAAAGATAACTGCTCTTTCACAACTCCATCTGTTGGCAGTCTTAGACATGAAGTCCTAGAAACCCCAAAACAAAATTATGCTGAACAGTAAAACTGATGGAGTAGTCAGCATCAAACAGATTTTGGATCAAACACATTTTGGAATCACTACGATGCAGCTACAGCTTCCTCTGCAACTCAGACATGTAGAGAAGTTGCAAGTAAAGACTACAGACTGAAAAAATCACTCGGTATGCCAGGGACCTCAGGAGGTCTCTAAGCCAATCTCCTACTCAAAGCATGGTCAACACTGAATTTTCACCACGTTGCTTAGGGCTTTGTCCAGCAAGGCCTGAAAGACTCTAATGAAGAACATCCCCAACTTCCCATGGCCCCCTCCCAGTGCTTTATCTTCTTCAGAGTTAAAAAATATCCCTCAGAGCAAGACAGAACTTGCTGTGTTTCAGTTTGATGACGACTTCTCCTGCCACAGACCTCAATAATGAGCCTGGCTCCATCATCATCATTTCAAGGCCAGGTTGGATGGAGCTCCAAGCAACCTGGTCTAATGGAAGATGTCCCTGCTCATGGTAGGGGGGTTGGAACCAGATGATCGTTAAGATCCCTTCCAACCCAAACCATTCTATGATTCGATGATTCTATGATCTCAGCAACCTCCTTGTGCACTGAGCAACTACTACCAGGTCTCTCAACCCTTTTCTTCACCAGGCCAAAAAACCTAGATTCTAATTTCTGTCTCCAGACTGGATCAGCAGCCTCACAAAACCCCAGTCACGCCTGAGAAGAGGCGATTCCAGCACAGGAACGCTCTCTCTGAAGCCTGCCTTGTCGGCCTGCTGGAAGAGCAATGCAGGACGGCAGTACCACCGCCAGTTGCATTAAGAAAAAACTGAGGCAAAAAAGTGAAGTTTGAAGAACTGTTATGTCTGAAAAACGCACAGCCTTGCTGATGGTAAAACAACGTACTCAGAAGACACCTCAAATGCTTCATTTGGCAGTTAATTCAAAAACTTGGTTGAAGATCCCCAGCAGCTGCCCTGCAACTAAGCAAGACTTGATACCAAGATGAAGCGAACACAGCTAGCCCAGCTCCACTGCCCAGGTCGACAAGCGTACGGTGGTGTTCAAATTTACAATTTCCTTTGTGAACTCTCAGGTTTAAGGATTAAAATTATAACAGAAACACGCACATTGTTCACAAGGCTGATGCTGACCGTCTTCCTTTAATCAACCACCTTCCAAGATTGCTCTGAATAATTAAGTTGACTGCCGTAACAAAAAGCTCCCATCAGAGAAGGGGAGGTGTCCTTTTACTAATGCACAGAACAAGCCTCGCAGTAGATTCTTATGATAGGCATTCGATGTAAAATCACCAGCTTATCTTGTTACACTGCTAAGTCAGATCACAAGTTATTAATTCAATGTATGGAAAAACCTACAATACTTCAGGACAATAATCAGCTTTTTTTTTTTTAAAACAGCTTCAGGGAATCTCAGCTGTTTAAACAGCTGCATGTGTATAATTTTGAATTAAGAACACTTAAATTCTGCAGTAGATACCAGAACCCACAAGGAGATGCGATAGGTACAAACTGGATCTAATTCAGCTGAGAGAACTCCACTCAGATTTAACAGGCACGGCCAGAATTACAATGTTTGCAACAGCTATAGAAGAAAAAAACATTTCTCTTCTTGCAACGTGCAGCTCCATCAGCCTACCGATATATTTGAACACACAGTAACTCCTCAGACCTGTGAAGATTCATTTTCCGACCCTCACCTGCACTTTCACAACCACCCATCAGCTGCTCAGGGAACCACGAAATCACCATGAATAACCATGCAAAATCCATCCCCGCAGCCTGGCACAGCATCCAACAACAAACTCCGTGCTCAGCACCTACGCACAGAACTCCCGAGTCTCAAAAATACAGCAGGGCATGAGAAGAGAGAGGAATAAGGAGGATTATTAAGTTTCTACAGTATCACGACATTTTTCCGAAGTGTTTGGAATATGATCGTGTCTTGTACCACACAAAGCTCGAGAATTTGCTCCAATATTACTTGGGAGAAACCTTCATTTTTCCTGGATAACCACTAGTAACTATTACTTTGATATTTAAGCTTTTACCTCCACTACAATAAAACCCAGACATGATCAGACTACAAGAAGTGGTTGTACAGGTGCTTTCTCCTTCTCTCATGCCCCTACAGACAACATTGGCTCAACACAGGCCCAGCTGAAGTGACCACAGGATTAATCAAACTGGAAGCTCCTTTATCTTGCCCGATCTTATACGTCTATATTCACATGATTTACTTACATTTCTGGAGTCTTGGACTTGTTTTTTCCATTGAAGAATTCAGGAAGCGCACGGCGTTCAATCACATGGATACTGTAACAAATAAAACACCATTCAAATGCCAAATCCTAAATATAATAAATAGTCTCAGAGTACTCTGCACACCTCCACACAACTATTTTGAAGCAGAACATTTCTAGAGAAAGTTTCTTTTTTTTTTTTAGAAACCCTAGTATTCTAGCCTGTCCCTCTGAAATGAAATATGTTCTCGTCAAATAAGCAAAGCTGTATTAAAAAAGCATCACAAAATTCAGTCACTGCTTGAAGCAAAACTGTGCCCCCAGAGCTGCCCCAACCAAACTCTGGAGCACCGAGCAGCAGCCCGTGTCCAACCGTACCGCTAGGAGTTCTGCATTCTGACACGGGCATCCTCCTCGCCTCAAACCCAGCCAGTGCTAACACCCAGCAAAGTACCGATATTTCAGAAAAAAACCAATCTTTTATGGTATATACTGGTGTATATATATGATATATGGTCCCACTCTGAAGTTGGAGCTACAGTAATTACCGTGCTCACAAGGCAGGCAGACTGACCGGCTTCAAGAATGGAGCTAGCAGCTCCCTGGTCAACTGGGACAATAAAATCCAAAGTACGCATATTTGGAGCAACTAAACACTGTCTTAAAAAACAATTCCTCTCCTTTAGGGCTATAAGGATGATGAGGGGACTGGAGCATCTCTCCTAGGAGGAGAGGCTGAGGGAGCTGGGCTTGTTCAGCCTGGAGAAGAGAAGGCTGAGAGGGGACCTTGGAAATGCCTCTAAATATCTGCAGGGTGGGGGTCAGGAGGACGGGGCCAGACTCTTTCCAGTGGTGCCCAGCGCCAGGACAAGGGGCAACGGGCACAAACTGAAGCCGAGGAAGCTCCAGCTGAACCCGAGGAAGAACTTCTT